ATAAAGCATTGTGGGTTCCCCGTGTGGCAACACTCAGGGCCAAGGTGGTGTAAGTCAAGGGCGAATACTAGGATTTTGACCTGAGCAAGGAGGGCTGGAGCTGGTGAAAGCTGTGGCACGAGTAGGTTTTGGGGACGACTGGAGTTTGGTTGTGGACATGTTGGGTGGAGGCCAGGGAAGGGGGTGGGGGGTCTGGCACCCACAGGGAGGTCGTTGGTGAATAGATGCTGTTTCAAGCCTACATTAGTCATCTTGGGCCGCTAGAACAAAATACTGTAGATTGAGTGGCTTAAACAACAGACATTTATTTTCTCACAGATCAGGGTGCCAGCATGGTAGGTTCTGGTGAGGGCTCTTTTCCTGGCTTGCACATGGCAGCCTTCTTGCTTCCACCTTTATGACCTCATTTAATCTTAATTTCCTCCTAGAGACCCCATCTCCAAATACAGGCACATTGTGGGGTTAGGGCTTCAACATAAGAGTTCTGGGGGACACAGCTCAGTCCATAGCAGAGCTCTGAGATTAGGTGTGATTCCCCCAGAGGTGAGAGCTCCCAGCCTACCACTGCCCCTCCCTGATCTCCACTCCAGTGTTGCCTCTTCCAGGCAAAGCCACATGCCGCAGTGTGTTGATATGTGCAACTCTGGATGAATGGCGGTGTTCCCCGCTAGACCATGAGTTCCAGAGGCAAGGCTTTGTCTTAGTGGTGGCCTGCCCCTGGCTCCCAGGCAGGGACTTGGCAAATATTTATTGAGTGACTGTTGGGAGGTCATGGAAACCGTGTGCAGGGCCCTTGTGTTTTGCTGGGAGACCCACTTGCACTGGGACCAGGAGTAGCAATGCTGGGAGGGTCCCCTCTGCCCTGTATGGGGCTGGGAGCTGCCCTGGGCCTCCTGCCCCTCCCCTCCAGGGAGTTCTGATATGCCGGGTTTTTGAGGAGAGATGATTCAGATAGGGTTTTCTGCTCTCGTGGAGTTCAGAGTCAAGTGTTCTTGGAGGTAAAAATGAGGGCGCTGTGGCAGAGGTGGGGTGCAGAAGATGGCATCTTCCTTCTGGGGAATACTCAGAGCAGGAGTAGCTGAGGGTGGAAGTGAAGGACTTGGGTGGTGGGAGGAGGAGGGCAGTCCCAGCAGGGTGCAGAGCTGGGGCAGAGGCCTGGCCACATGCAAGGCACCACGCAGTGTGCCTGAGCCCGCCTGAGATGGGTGGGGGTGGGGGGGGCCTGGGTGCCAGGCTGAGGAGTTCATTTCATCAGGTGGGGTGGGGAGCAGAGTTGGCTGCTCTGGGGGCTCAGCTTGGGTACAGAATTGTTAGGTGGTTTAGAGGCCCCGACCCCTGACTTTGTCCCTCCGCTGCTCCAACAAGCAGGTGATCCGGCCAGGTACCAGCTGCTGTTTCTTCTGGGAGCCCAATCATGGCTGCTCCCTCCTGGGGCTGGTATGGGTGAAGGGCTTCTTGCAGGGCCCAAGGCAGTTGTCCTTCTGTGTCCAGTGGACTGGATTATGCCAGTTGGCATTGGAGGGAGGGGTGCTTCACCCGGGCCCCTTCACTGCAGCCCCAGGGCTCTCCACAGCCCCGCCCCACCCGTCTTCCCCCTAGGCAGTGACCACCTTAACTCCGTGCAGGGACGGTGAGGCCGTGAGGGTACTGGTGGAACAGCACTCAGGTATCTGCAGCTCACAGACCTGCCACCCACCCAGCAATGTGCCAGGAGGGCTCCTGTGCGCTGATTGGCTGAGCCATTCTCACCATTTGCTCCCTGCTCTCCCTCCCCTGCAATTGCTAATCAAAGGCTCCAAAGCTCTGGGTGCTGGGCTCTGAGTCTGGGGACCCCAGCCTGAATGTCAGGTTGGCTCTGGCCCTTTGGAGAGCTGCACGCCTGTCCTGTCTTTGTCCCCACTCTTTGGGTATGATCCTGGAAGACCCCTCCAGGAACTGGGGGCCAGCAGCTTCTTCCTTGGCCACCTTGGCCCTGGCCATTTGGGCTCCAGTATCTGGGGTGGCTCCAATTTGGCAGCCAGGGAGGTGAGTCAGAGATGCCAGGACACCTGGAAGTGGGCTCTCTGGGCTGTGTCCTTTGCCCCCCACATGGTGCCTTGGCTTCTCCTGCCTTTCTTTTTTTTTTTTTCCTTTTTGTCTTTTTTTTACTGACCAGTAATGGGATCGCAACCCTCGGTGTTGTGCCCGTACCGGGGACTGGCAACGGGATCACAACCCTCAGTGTTGCGCCCGCACCGCGCTCAGCCAGTGAGCGGGAACCGGTCTCCACATGGGATCCGAACCCTCGGCGGGAGCGCCACCGTGCTCCCAAGCGGCGCACTCTCCAATGCGCCACCGGGCTGGCCCTTCTGCCTTTTCATGTAGACACTCAGACCTGAACTTGAATTCCTGGGAGGAAATTTGTATTGCCTTCTGACTGGCGCTTCCCAGTCTTTGTCTCCCTCCTCTGATTACCCGAAGTTGTTTTCTGCAGCGGTGACAGTGATTTGGAGTGGGTGGGGGGAAGTCACAAGCTTTAGTGCTGAGACAGACCCTGGTTTGAATCTTGCCCCTGGCACTTAACTCACATATGACCTCAGGACAGGCCTCATCTTCACGTGGCCTCAGTTTTCCCAGCTGAGAATTGGGAGTGGGAAACCAGCCCCAAAGGCTTGCTAAGAGGATGCAGGAAGCTCCTGTATGTTGCAGGTGGCTCCCCTATTAGCCTGGGTGCTGGAGGGGCAGGGCCTGCGTCTCCCACATGGTCTGTCAGAGCTACAGGCTGAGTTTGTAGAATTAGGTTAGCCTTGATTTCTAAATAGTGAAAGAGATTTGGAGCTCTGGGTCCCAGGAGCAGGTCGGTTTTAGAGGCAGTACTCAACCTGGACTCGAGGTGGACCTCTGAGCCCTTGGGCACGCGGTGCTTCTGTTCCTCACAGCGGCCGTTTCAGAATGAACCAGGTAGGGGTCAAGTCTCCACTGTATCCCCAAGACTCAGCCCTCAGAGGCAGCTCGGAATGGAGTCGCTAATGAATGAAAAATGTGAAAGATGCATGAGAGCTAACTGCAAGTGAGGGAAGAACAGCTGGGGACTCCATTCCTGCCCCAGGGCCTTTGCACATACTCTTTCGGCTGTTCTCCTCTCTCACCAGCTAGTCTCTGCTCCAGCCTCTCACTCAGGGAAGCCTTCTCGCTCCCTCCTCCAGCCCAGTTAGTACCAGAACCTGTAGACGAGACCCTGTAGGATTGTAGAAGACTCACTTTTACCTGTGGGGTCAGGTATAAAGCCACACCCTCCTTCAGAACCCTTTGACGATTGTCCTGAGTATGGGACACAGGCTTTCCACCTTCTCACCTGGCCAGTTCTTCCTCCCAGAAGAGGCAAGACAGGCTCTGATGCAGATGGTCACACATTGAGAGGTGCCCGGTTCCCCCACCACCCCCCCAGCTGGTGTCCCCACAGGTCAGGACAGGGGATGGGCGCCCTGAGCAAGATCAATTCCCATTTTTTCCTCCCCTCCTCCTCAAGCACTTTTGGGTTAATTTGCATAAATTCAAATAAATTCACACCTTTTATTTCTTTTAAAATATTGTTTAGTTCTATATACAGGCAGTACATTCAAGTCTTGTCCCCAGTTCTGCCCAGAAGAAACCAGTCCCACAGTTTCTTTCCTTTAAAAAAAAATAGCTTTTGGGCCGGCCCGTGGCTCATTCGGGAGAGTGCAGTGCTGATAACACCAAGGCCTTGGGTTCGGATCCCATATAGGGATGGCTGGTTAGCTCACTGTCTGAGCGTGGTGCTGACAACACCAAGTCAGGAGTTAAGATCCCCTTACCAGTCATCTTTTTTTTTTTTTGCCCTTTTTGAGACCAGCCGCACCACGCTCAGCCAGTGAGCGCACCGGCCATCCCTATATAGGATCCAAACCCGCGGCGGGAGCGCTACTGCGCCACGGGCTTGGCCCCACCAGTCATCTTTAAAAAAAAAAAAAATAGCTTTTATTGAGATACACACATTATGCAGTTCATCCATTTAAATTGTATTGTTTAGTGGTCTTTAGTATATGCACAGAATTGTACAACCATTGCCGCAGACAGTTTTAGAAGATTTTTTTTCATTGAGTTAAGAATAGGGCTGTGTGGTTAGCTCAGTTGGTTACAGCATGGTGCTGATAACACCAAGGTCCAGGGTTCCATCCCTGTCCCAGCCAGCTGCCCCCCCCCCCCAAAAAAAAAAAAGAATAAATCCCACACCTCTTTGCTCTCATCACTCCCCCTTCCCCTCCCCCAGCCCCTGGCATCCACTAATCTGCTTTCTGTCTCTATGGATTTGCCCATTCTGGACATTTCATACCAATGGAATTATACACTATGTGGCCTTTTGTGTTTGGCTTCTTTCACTCAGCATCATGTTTTCCAGGGACATCTATGTTGTAGTGTGTGTCAGAGTTTCCTTCCTTTTTATAGCCAAATAATATTCCATTGTACGGATCCCCACATTGTGTTTATCCATTCATCTGTTGACGGACATTTGGATTGTTTCCACCTTTGGGCTATTGTGAATAACACTGCTATAAACACTTGTGTACAGGTTATGTGGATATATGTTTTTATTTCTCTTAGGCGTAAATCTTAGGGGTGGAATTGCTGGGTCACCTGGTTTAACCATTTGACTTCCAGACTGTCCTCCACAGTGGCTGCCTTGTTTTACATCCCACCAGCAGAGTATGAGGGCTCTGATTTCTCATCCTTGCCCGCACTTACTACCTTTTTGGTTTTAGTGGGTGTGAGATGGTATCTCATTGTGGTTTGGATTTGCATTTCCCAGGTGACTGTGATGTTTTCATGTCATTTCTTGAGTGGTCACTCAGCCATTCAACAAGTAGTGATTGAGGGTCCCGTGCTCAGCACTGCAGACTCTGGTGTACAGTCACATGACCCTGCCCTCCTGGTGTTTGTGTGCCAGTGCCTTGCGTGTGCATGTGGTGCTAGTGCTAGTTAATGGTCAGGTGTTAGTGCTAGTGCTAGTGCTAGTTAATGGCCAGTGCTAGTTAATGGTCGCAGGGCACTCACTGTGTCCTGGCCACCTTTCCAAGCACCTAGGCAAACTCATTTAATATTCAAGTACATACAGGTAAGAATGCTTTTGCCCTCTCTGTAAGGGACAGCATGTGGCCACCCTGGTCTGTAGCTGGCTTAGCCAATTTGGCAGTAATATCATAAAAGCAAATCCCCACCTAAGTGAAAGGAGTGGGTGGCCCTGTGCAATTCTTACGGCCATGGCAAATTCCATCACATGGATGTCTGCTCTCGTGTGTCCTCCAGCAGATGAGGTCTGTGCGGGCCGGGCCAAACCAGCGCTTGCCCCCTGACCCCATCACTCCATTCTTTGTCTCTCCCTATCCCTTGTGCAGCTGCCGCCATGGCCCAGACCCTGCAGATGGAGATCCCGAACTTTGGCAACAGCATCCTGGAGTGCCTCAATGAGCAGCGGCTGCAGGGCCTGTACTGTGACGTGTCCGTGGTGGTCAAGGGCCACGCCTTCAAGGCCCACCGGGCGGTGCTGGCCGCCAGCAGCTCCTACTTCCGGGACCTGTTCAACAGCAGCCGCAGTGCCGTGGTGGAGCTCCCAGCGGCTGTGCAGCCCCAGTCTTTCCAGCAGATCCTCAGCTTCTGCTACACGGGCCGGCTGAGCATGAATGTGGGCAACCAGTTCCTGCTCATGTACACGGCCGGCTTCCTGCAGATCCAGGAGATCATGGAGAAGGGCACAGAGTTCTTCCTCAAGGTGAGCTCCCCAAGCTGCGACTCCCAGGGCCTGCACGCTGAGGAGGCCCCATCATCCGAGCCCCAAAGCCCCGTGGCGCAGACATCAGGCTGGCCAGCCTGCGGCACCCCGCTGCCCCTTGTGTCACGGGTCAAGACGGAGCAGGAGGAGTCGGACTCTGTGCAGTGCACACCTGTGGCCAAGCGGCTGTGGGACAGCGGCCAGAAGGAGGCCCGGGGCGGTGGCAGCCGTAAGATGGCCAAGTTCTCCACACCGGACTTGGCCGCCAACCGGCCACCCCAAGCCCCGCCTCCCCAGCAGTCCCCAGTGGTGGCAGCGGCCCAGCCTGCCGGGGTGGCCATGGCAGCGGCATCAGGGGCAGGGGCCGGGCAGCCAGCTGGTGGGGCGGCAGTGGTGGCAGCAGTGGCAGCAGGGGGCATGGTGAGCGGGCCCAGCACATCCGAGCGGACCAGCCCGGGCACCTCAAGTGCCTACACCAGCGACAGCCCTGGCTCCTACCACAATGAGGAGGACGAGGAGGAGGACGGGGGAGAGGAGGGCGTGGACGAGCAGTACCGGCAGATCTGCAACATGTATACCATGTACAGCATGATGAACGTCGGCCAGACAGGTGGGGCACCGGCTCAACTGCCCCTGCCCACCCCCCATCCTGGCACCACCCTCTCCCAACATACATGCCGCTCTCTCCCCACAGCCGAGAAGGTGGAGGCCCTCCCCGAGCAGGTGGCCCCTGAGTCCCGGAATCGAATCCGAGTGAGGCAGGACCTTGCGTCTCTCCCGGCCGAGCTCATCAACCAGATTGGCAACCGCTGCCACCCCAAGCTCTACGATGAGGGCGACCCCTCCGAGAAGCTGGAGCTGGTGACAGGTGGGCCAGCCATGCTCCATCCCCCACCTTCCCACTCTGCCGCCTCAGGCCTCGGTGCCCTCCTGGCTGGGTGGCCTGTCACATGCTGGCTGTGTCCTGGGACAGCTGACACCCTCAGTACCTCAGTTTCCCCAACTGTACTATGATGTTGATAACAGCCACCCTGGCAGGATCTCTTGATGAGATTAGATGAATTGATACACATCAGAGACTGGCCTTGAGGTTCTGGCTTCTGGGGGCTGGCTCGAGTGTTGGCTGTTAAGGTTGGGCCACACGGGGGTAGGTTCACTGCTTCCCAGGGAGGTTTAAGGGCTAACACTGGCCTGGGTATGAGCCTCGCTCCCTGTTGATCTGTCCCAGCCTAGGCCTCCTTCTCTGTCCCTGGGGATAGTCAGGGCTCCTTCCCCCTGCATAGTGGCCCCCGAGTGCACAACAGGTGCCCTGTGGGTGGTGACGCCCTTTCTGTCCTTTCCTTTTTTTTTTTTTTAAAAGATGACCGGTAAGGGGATCTTAACCCTTGACTTGGTGTTGTCAGCACCACGCTCAGCCAGTGAGCGAACCGGCCATCCCTATATAGGATCCAAACCCGTGGCCTTGGTGTTGTCAGCACCACGCTCAGCCAGTGAGCGAACCGGCCATCCCTATATAGGATCCAAACCCGTGGCCTTGGTGTTGTCAGCACCACGCTCAGCCAGTGAGCGAACCGGCCATCCCTATATAGGATCCAAACCCGTGGCCTTGGTGTTGTCAGCACCACGCTCAGCCAGTGAGCGAACCGGCCATCCCTATATAGGATCCAAACCCGTGGCCTTGGTGTTGTCAGCACCACGCTCAGCCAGTGAGCGAACCGGCCATCCCTATATAGGATCCAAACCCGTGGCCTTGGTGTTGTCAGCACCACGCTCAGCCAGTGAGCGAACCGGCCATCCCTATGTGGGATCCGAACCCGGGGCCTTGGTGTTATTAGCACCGCACTCTACCGAGTGAGCCACGGGCCGGCCCTTTCTGTCCTTTCCTAAACACTGATGAGGTTGGGGGAGTCCAAAGGAACCTCATCTGACAGCCTTTGGGTCCCTGGGGCTACTTCGCGGGACCCAGAGCCCATCAGGGAGGGTATCAGGGGTTCTGGGAAATGGGTTGGGCCCAGGTCACAGCCTGGCCTGGCAGGGGACATGTGGTTTGGGGGCACCCTGAGCCACTCTCCAGCTTTCCCTCGCCAGGCACCAATGTGTACATCACGAGGGCGCAGCTCATGAACTGCCACGTCAGCGCGGGCACAAGGCACAAGGTCCTGCTGCGGCGGCTCCTGGCCTCCTTTTTTGACCGGTGAGGCCCTGGCCAGCGCCCCAGGGTGGGGGAGTTGGGTTGCCCATGCCCCCACCACCATGGGGAGCACTGACTCCTCTGTGCCCCCTGCCCTGCCCCTAGGAACACTCTGGCCAACAGCTGCGGCACCGGCATCCGCTCTTCCACCAACGACCCCAGACGCAAACCACTGGACAGTCGCGTCCTCCACGCCGTCAAGTGTGAGTGTCTGGCCTTCTGGAGTTGGAGGAGGCCTGGGGTGGTCAGATGGTCTTTTTTCTCCAGGGGTGGCCCTGATGGATGGATAGGTGGAGCTTGGTGTTGAGAAAGATTCTGAGGCTCACTCTAGCGTGCTGGGAAGAGGGTTGGGATTGGTTAGAGATTATTTTGCGGTCGAAGGGCAGAGCTGCTGAAGCAAGGCTGGGGTGCCTGTGTTAGGCAGGAGGATCTCAAACTTAGGGCAGTCACGGAAAAGATGAAGTGGCCAGGCAGAGTCAGCCAGATGAAGGGCAGCCGCCAGAGGGTGCCAGCCACTTGTCGGGGGGCAAGTCCAGATTGTCATGCGGAGCCTCCCCACGCGTGGCTGAGCTCACCTGGGTGTTTTAGGTTGTCACCATGTAGCCTTGGATGTCTCCCCTCTGAGTGGGATAACGACCCCAGACGCAAACCACTGGACAGTCGCGTCCTCCACGCCGTCAAGTGTGAGTGTCTGGCCTTCTGGAGTTGGAGGAGGCCTGGGGTGGTCAGATGGTCTTTTTTCTCCAGGGGTGGCCCTGATGGATGGATAGGTGGAGCTTGGTGTTGAGAAAGATTCTGAGGCTCACTCTAGCGTGCTGGGAAGAGGGTTGGGATTGGTTAGAGATTATTTTGCGGTCGAAGGGCAGAGCTGCTGAAGCAAGGCTGGGGTGCCTGTGTTAGGCAGGAGGATCTCAAACTTAGGGCAGTCACGGAAAAGATGAAGTGGCCAGGCAGAGTCAGCCAGATGAAGGGCAGCCGCCAGAGGGTGCCAGCCACTTGTCGGGGGGCAAGTCCAGATTGTCATGCGGAGCCTCCCCACGCGTGGCTGAGCTCACCTGGGTGTTTTAGGTTGTCACCATGTAGCCTTGGATGTCTCCCCTCTGAGTGGGATTCACACATGTCGCAGGGGGTGGGGTGGGGGAAGAGGGTGGGCCTCATGGGAGCAGCCTGCCTGAGTCGCCTGCGCCACCTGTGCAGACTACTGCCAGAATTTCGCCCCCAACTTCAAGGAGAGCGAAATGAATGCTATCGCCGCCGACATGTGCACCAATGCCCGCCGCGTCGTGCGCAAGAGCTGGATCCCCAAGCCCAAGGCGCTCCTGGCTGAGGGTGACACCTACACCACCTTCATTGGTGAAACGGGCAAGATAGAGCCGGACATGATGGGCCTGGAGCACGGCTTCGAGACTGCCAGCCACGATGGCGAGGCTGGCCCTTCGGCCGAGGCCCTCCAGTAACCCCCACTGGACCCTCCCCGCGGGGCCGTCACACTCCCCCCTCCTGTCACACACACCCACCCACCATCTTGGTCACGAGCTACTGTCTGTCCTTCCCCAGGACCCGCGGGGGGCACTGCATGCTCCTGGCCCCTCTGCCTCCCTGTCACACCCCCTTCACCCAATATGAGCCGGCCGGCAGGGAGAGGACGGAGGGGCAGGTGGCGGCGAGGTTTGTGTTGCCTGCTCTGACACAGTGCACTCTCCTGACCCCTAGCATTCCTCTCCCTACTCACCAGGCCCCGCGTGGGAGGGGGCTGGCTTGGGGCGCTCGAGAGGTTCCCCTCCCCAGGCCCTGGGCCGCCTCAGCCTCTGCCCCTTGGGACTTGACGGGGGTCCCTGGGGGTTCTCAGACCCCTCCTGTCACCTCCCAGTGCTTCCACGTCTCCAAAAGCGCCTTCCTGTCACCCTCGTCTGTCCCTGGACCTGGGGCTGGGGTCAGCGAGGCCATGGGGACTGTCCATTTTATAGCTGAGGAAACTGAGGCTATGAGAAATTTCCACAACCAACCTAATGTGGCCAGCGGTGGCGGGCTCAGCACCTTTCTCTCCCCTGCCCATCGCTGGGACTCTATTGCCCCCATTGGTCCCCTGGGGCCTGAAAGAGGCAGGTCCTAAGGGAGGAGGGCTCTTGGGGGCAGACCAAGGGCCTCAGAGGACAGGAGAGGTGTCCGGGGTTTGCAGAGCATATGCGTGTGTGTGTGTGCGCGCGTGTGCATGTGTAGAGGTTTTGCTTTCAAACAGATGAAGATATAAGAGGCAGTAGGACCAGGGTTGGAACCCAGGGCAGCAGGCTGGGGGGCTGCCGCCCCTCCCCCCCCGCCCCCACCCCACCCCA